TTAAAATTCATAGATATGAACCATCAATGGGATGATATTTTTACAAAACCCTCAGCTGAAGATAAATTTCTATTTATTCTGAAGCATCTGAAAATGGATTTTTGTCCAGAGTAAGATTTCATCAGAATTAGATGTGTTTTAGTCTTAGTCTTAATGAATAAGATTCTGACTTATTAAAAAGCATTACTTTTATTTTACAACCTCAGTTATCAGAAGATATTTCGGTCAAAAATATCTATGATCAGATGGAAACCTTTTGGTTTTTCAGATTCTGAGGATATCAAAACGTGTCACTTAATTCGATGTAGTGATTAAAGCATGTAACCTTTGGTTATTCCTAGTCATTATACTATAATTAAGTTATGCAATGAGCAGCGTGCGTTTTTCTTGGAATTGATTAATTATGATTACACTCATTTATTACTTCTCTTTAAAGTCTGTGAAGTCATCTGATTCCTTTTCTTCAGACAATTATTGTCTTGGATGTCTCAAAAATTGATTACATTGTAGTAACTCAATAGTCTCTTTTCTTAAACCTTCTCTTAACTATTTATGAGTCGTCTACCAGAGTGAATTCTTTGTTTGATGAGTGTTGTGATGTTTTTGAAGTCTAGCTAGTTTCTCGCTGTCTTGTCTTACTTCTGTTGTTTTTCTCTTCCTTGAATTCAATGAAGTTTCATTTTCGTTTCTTGTTACTTATTTTGTCTTTATGATCTTCACACATAATTACCTTTTTGATTATGACAAAAAGAGGGAGTAAATAATTGAAAGTAATTTTGATTTTGATAATCAAATTCTGGAAAATGTCTCTGAAAAGATCCACTTACATTCTAACCCAATTAAACTTCTATTTCTGTTAGAATTGCTTTCTTTTTCAGGAATCATGAACTCTGATTAGAGTCAAGATCTTAATCACATTGTTCATAATCAGGCTCTGAATTGAGAATCTGGAATGTGTCTTTATGACGTTAAAGCTTTAAGATCTAAATTGGCATGATTTGTATCAAGACTCTCAAGATCTTAATATCTGATCTATTGGAACCAGGGGGGACTTTACTCAAATGGTTCAAAATCAGGATATTTGATCTTCGTCAAGTCTTTGACTCATGGGGAGTTTTCATATCAAGGATAAGTGTTTCTTAACCTTCTTATTTTTACTTCTTTTGATTATGTACAAAATTGTGTCATCAAAACACATAGTTTTGTCATCATCAAAAAGGGGTAGATTATTAGAACAAGATTTGGTTCTGCAATTCTATATATGAGTTTTGATAATAAAAAAGAGTATGTGTGTATGAACAATTTTGGTAATCTAATATTTGTTATTTTGAGTATTTAACAAACAGGTTCTGCTTCTGATGAAAGGCGCTACCAAGATATTAGAAGATAATAAGTTCTGCTTCTAGCTACACAAGTTCTGATGAACAATATCAAAAGCTTCAGAAGACTCTGAAGTTGTGACTCTGATACATGTCCAAGAAACCAAGTTCTGAAGATCTGAAGGCAGAAGTTCTAACTGAAGTCCAAATGCTGAAGACTTATGTTTCTAAAGATAAAGGGTTCTCAAGACCAAGTGTTGAAGATTCTGATAGACGAAGTTCTGAAGATTCTGAAGACTTGAAGTTCTGATGACCCAAGGTTCTATAAAGGATTCTAAAGACCAAGTGTTGAAGATTCTGAAGACGCAGTTTTGAAGACTTAAAGTTCTGAAGACCCAAGTATTATTCTTATTCTTCCAACATATGCTCAGAAGCCTCTGACATTAGAAGAAAAAGAGGATACGATTGCATGGTACCCAAAGTACATGGTACAAACAAATCATTCCATCCACTACCATGAAGGACAGATGTTACGTACAATCTTGTCTTTCACGTAATTATTCAAGTTGCCAACTTTCTGGAAGTTCCAGAAATACCCTTCAAGGTTATATTATTTTATTGGCTATAAAAGGGCTTGAAGACTATGAGAGAAGGCTGCTAATTCACATTCTCCAAAGACTGTTCATACGCTTTCATTTCTCTAGTATAGTTTGTTGAAAATATGTTTACTTATCAGCTTGTGTAGAAGCATATATTTTGTAAACAAACTTTGTTCAAATAGTTGTTTGATTTTTCCTTAAGGAATCAGTTGGTCAGAATCCTTGAGAAGTTTAAGATTAGTTGTCTTAGAGGTTGTAACGTTAGTCACTTGTAGTTAGCTTGTGCATTGTAATAATATGTTTGATTATTGGATTAAGTCCTTGTTGAACTAGTATAAACATAATTTATTCTTTCCTTCTTGCATCTTATCACTATTATCACTAAGTAAAGTAACTTGTTACGGTTTAAAAGGGATTTTAAAAGGAAAACTTTTTGATTTAAAACCCAATTCAATCCCCCCCCCCCCCCCCCTCATTTCCTGTGTTTTTCACACCTTCAATTCTTTCGTTTGAAAATCAATTAAAGATGTAATAATTTCACTCACATATATATGATCAAGGTATAATTATGCTGATGTACTTACTAAATCACTGGCCAGGGATTTAGTAAATACTACCTCAAAAGATATGAGATTGAAACTCCTTGAATAAGAGCTCCAACAATGATAGCAACCAAATCTAAAGTTAAGAAAATCTTAACCTAAGATTCAATGGGTAACAACAAGTCATTGATTTTGATATTTTTGCAACATTATGTGACAATGTTGTGAAGGTGAGAAAAATACACAAGAAGAGGGGATTTAAATTATGTGTTGTGAATTCTTCTTCGCTTCTTGAAAACAACTTGAGAGACTGAACAAGTTCAAAGTCTAAGCATATAGAGGTAAGCAGCGGAATGAGATAAATATAATTAAAGGCACACACAAAGTTATCCTGGTTTCTCCCATAAACTAAGAGTAATCCAGTTCACTTGTCCAATAAGAGATTTTTCACTATAATCAAAACCCGATTACAACCTACTCAAGCAAACATGCTCAAGACTTCATTTTCTCAATTAACCTAGAAAGAGACCCCCGCTCAAGCAACCTAGCAAGAGACTTTCTTTGCTCGAGCAACCTAGCAAGAGACTTCCACTAAACTTCTAAATAAACAATTTAAAGAATAGATAACAAGATTCACTTGATTTACAATCAGAGGTGCACAAAGAATGCAACACAATCAAAGACTTTATCACTTGAGATTTCTAAGATATATAAAGATAAGAAATGTCAAGACTATGTGAAATACAACAATATATACAAACTTAGAGTTTTATTCAGAGTTTTCAATATTTCTTGTTTTTCTATCTTGTTATTCAGTCATCAAATCTTCAGCTCCTCATATAGAGGCAATAAAAAAGAGTCGTTAGAAGATGAGTTACACAAGTGTCCTTGTTGAGAAACAATTTTCAAGAGATAGATGTTGGAAGTTGATTTGAGATCTTCTTCTTCTGAATAAAGGATATGTCCAAAACATATTTCTCATACTAGTTATCTACCAAAGAGTTGGAGCATACTTAAGATGTCGTGCCAACTTTTCTTGAGCCTTGCACTTTTAGAAGCTCTAGTTGACTTTCTCGCAAAATATGGATTGACAAGATGATACTATTTTAGTGACAGAGTACAGACTAGAAGCTGAGTTCCTTTAACCTAGTTAATCAAAATATGAGTTGTCACTAGAAGAAGATATACTAAGTCCGAGTCACCAGATTTTGGTCCTTCAGAATCTTAAACTTTAGCTTCTAATTATAAGCTACTAACAGGGTCAGAACCAAATTAATTTAAAGTTTATGATCTTGCACACTTAAACAAATGTTAGTATACCCGATTGTTCTTTAAGTACTTTGTTATCATCAAAATCCAATAGATATGAACAATGTTGTTCCAACATGTTGACTATTGCATATTGAGGGTTGAATTTTCAAACTCTTAATGAATTTCAATGTCGAGAATATTCAAGAAAATAGATACAATATGAACTTCTCTTATGTGAATTTTGAGATTGTGATGTCTTTAAGTGAGAATTGGAGTTTCGCTTACGAATTAGAAAAAACACATGGTCATAAATAGTGCTAGGCGAGAGATATAGGTGAAGAATCATTAAAGAGTATGTATAAGATAATGTCGGTCTAATTATAATGGATAACAGTCAAAGCATTGATACCTAACTTTTCAATTACGCTTTATGCTGTCCTTACTAACATTAAGTTCAAATCGAAAGATAACTGTATTAACATTCTTTATTTCTTTTTTTTTTTAAGAATTGATCTTATCATTATTAGAACAAGCAGGAAATTGTTGTAATTAATAATAATTTATCACCACGCGTGTGTTCTAAAATGACAAAAAAAAATGTAATTGAAGATTGCTTTTTGAATTAAAAAATAGACTTACACTTGTAAAGTGTTGTAATATGCAGTTTGTATTTTAAATTTAAAATTTTGAATTCAAAAATAAGTAATGCTTCTGAACGGAACTATTGCTATAGGTGAAATAATGAAACATTTAATAAAAATTGTTGCTGTAGGCAAACAGTGCAACATTCGATAAAAATATACATGCGTTTCATCCATAATCGCAACTGTGAGATATATTGGTAATTTGTTTTTCATTTTTGTTTTTAATTCATAGAATTTGCGTTTTATGAAAGGAAATTATAAAATGAGTGACACCAAAATTGTGGTTTTTCTTACGTTTTCTTACATTACAGTTTGTGTTTTGTCTTTTTGTTGACATTTGAATGTTTGGTATAATTTAACGTGAAAGTTTGAAAAGAAGTTACGTTATTGATATTAGGAATTTTGGAGGCGTTAAGTAAAATAATTTATAAAAATGGTGGGAATTTAGTTTTATATATTAATTGAGTCTGAAAAAGTATTATAACTAAATTGGCAGTGGAGCCCATAATCCGTGTTAGTAAAGAAAGAAAAGTATGAGGAAGAAGGAAAGAAAGACAGAGTTTGTAGAATGAGTGCACGGAAATGGGATTCCAAAATAAGAAACTGACTTTTCCTTACCATTACCATATTCTCATGTTCTGAAATATGTCTGCGCCGTCCCCACCTCCTTTCACATCCACTCCTTCGCCACACCAACCACCTTCCTCTTCTTCACCCTTGCTCCCGCCTCCTACTCCAACTCCTCCACCATCGCTGCCTCCTACTCCAACTCCGCCACCACGCCCTCCTCCACCATCGCTGCCTCCTACTCCAACTCCGCAATCACGCCCTCCTCCATCGCCCCAATCGCCACTTCCGCCTTCACTACCACTACCACCGTCAGCTCCACCTCCATCCAATCCACCAACATCACCGTCAGCTCCACCTCCATCCAGTCCACCAACATCACCGCCGACCAATCTATCTCCTCCACCCTCATCACCGCCACCGGAAAATTCACCACCTCCTTCCGTCCTAAAACCGCCCCCCCAAAACTCAACTCAAACTCCACCTCCTAGGTCATCGTCTCCACCACCCCCCAAAAACTCAACTCCAACTCCACCACCAGCATCACCTCCTAGATCATCGCCTCCACCACCCCCCAAAAGCTCAACTCAAACTCCACCACCGGCATCACCTCCATCACCAACATTAACCCCTACTCCTCCTGCCTCACCCAGTACACACCAACCCACACCTTCAAATTCACCACCAAGGTTATCTCCTCCATCACCCTCAATCATTCTGTTGTCGCCCCCGCCGCCACACAACGAATCAGAAACTGGAAGCAGTGGTGGAATTGGTTCTGGTGCTCTAGTGGCTGTTGCTGTGTTTGGTGGAATTCTATTGCTTGGCTTCATTGGAGTTGCTATCTGGTGTTTCAGGAGGCAAAACAAAAAGGATTCTCCTAGTGATGCTTATGTCGGGCCTTCCACTCTTCCCTCCTCAACTCAATCAGGTATGTCCCTTTGCTCCTCCTCTACACCACTTTTTGCAATGGTGTAGCAAACACTTCACTTATTGGGGTCTACATAGTAAATTTGCAATGTAGTAGAACATGGTTTAGATCCCAACAATCCTGCGCTGGTTACAATATCAATGGCATATTTACGTTAGAGAACCATTGATGGCTGGACTGTTTTAGGCCATATATAGACTTAGTGAGCCTGTACGCTTGGTGTGTTGAAAGTGTAATTCCTTGTGTCGAAGCCAGAGTTATTAATCCCGGATAGCGGAGCGGAGCGGCCGACCCCCGGGAATGGGAAAAGTGGGAATAGCGGGATCCCGGATAGCGGGATAACTTTTTGTATACTAATAATTATATAATAATCTATAAAACATATGTCATGTAATACTAAACTAATTTTACAACACTCATAAAATATTTATAAAATCTAATGTCAAACCAAGAACAATGCTTAATCAAGATTCAAAACATAAAGATTCAAATTCAAACTTAGTACTATCATATGAAAATTCAAGCAAACATAGAAATCATGTAGCATCATCAAAATATTCCTCCAATTCTTCATTTTCTTCATATTCCTCCAATTCTTCATCTTCAACTTCTTCAAAATAGAAAGAAACGGTGTTTACAACAAAACAAAAATAGAAGAAGTAGAAGGTAGAAAGAAAAGAAGTAGAATAAGTTGAAGTAGAATAAGTTGCAGAATTAGAAGAAATTACCTGAGATGGCAGAAGGAGATGGAGGAAGAATCGAAGAAGAGTTGCAGGGAGATGGCGGCAGAATCGTAGAAGGAGAGTTGAGGAATTAGGGCACGATAAAACACAGCGAATGAGGGAGAAAGAAAACAAAAACTGTTTTAAAACAGAGGCATTTAAGTAATTTGGCCCAGAAAATTGTTTAAAAAAAAAAAAAGAACCGGAGCCGCTCCGCCCGGGAACTTCCCGCTACCCGGGAACGCGGCTGAAGCGGCCACTTTTTCATCTCCGCTACTGCACCCTAAATAGCGCGCGGGGGGTGCCGCACCGCTACGGTGCGCCGCTATAGCGGCCGGAGCACCCGCTATTGACAACTCTGGTCGAAGCAGGTTCTTGCTCGACACAAGGTGTGTTGCAATAAGTCAGTGTCGAAGTGTGTCGAGTTGTGTTAGCTGTCGAAGTGTCGAAGCAGATTGCTTCCCACAGAATTTCGACTTAGATCCAAAATAGGTATTTTGGGCTTCTATAGTTTTGAGCTTTTTTGGTTTAGGGAGAAAGCTAACCTAAAACTATAAATAAAAGGAGTAATCCCTATTTTTGTAATCAACTCATAACAACTTGTATTCGCAGAATTTTGCAGTTGCAAAGTGAATAAAATTTTTCCACAGTTTGTGGGAAGAGAGTTACTCTGCAGAAACTCTAAATCTCTTTTCTTCTTAGTTTACTTTTCATTGTCATTGTACGGTGATAATAATCTTGTTCATCAAGATTGATAGAAATTCATCATAGGTTTTGGTGGATTTCTAACAATAAGATCTTTAAATCGGTGTATAAATCAGTGATGGATCGCTCACCCTATTTGATGGAATGAACGTCACAAAGAAGATCAGAAAGACTGAAATGATTACCTTTGGTAAATCCTTCATGCAACTCATCGCATAGAGCTTTATGCTATCGATGTAGATGACGCTGGACAAAATTTGGGGATTTAGGGTTCGATTGATCCATGAAACTATCATAGAGTTGCAACGCTCCCAAGCTTCATAGTATTGATCGTCTTCATCTGGCATTGGGAATTTTCCATTAATGAAATGTAACTTGTTCCTCGATTGCAAAGCGCGCTTCATCGCCTTGCTCCAAGTGTTGTCGTTTGCAGGACCAGTGAGTGAAGGAGAAACAAGCACAGTTCCTGGATTTTCACCAGGATGGAGATAATAGAGAGTTGATGCATCTTGGAAAGGATTTTTGAAAGATCTTGATTGAGAATTTTATGAAGAATCAGAAATGGAATTTGCCATGGAAATGGATCAAGAAATTCAGAATCTCGCAGAGAAGAAGCAGAAACAAAAAGCCGAAAGATACCATATTTAAGTAATTGAGAATCATTTCTATTGAATGAAAAAAAAGATAAGTACATTGGTTTATATACATAGTAAATTTCCAATGAATTGCTCTATGAACATATGCTAGCAGGTTAACAAACTAACATATGATTTTCCAGCTAGAGTTAGACTAACTAACTAAGTAGCAGACCCCAATACGACCTTCCTTCAACCTGAAGTGTTGTGCTACATATATGTTACTTTATAACTTTGTGAATTTCTTGCCATTGAATCTGAATCAAATTAAGGTTTGTAACCTTGTCCAGATTCATCCTTTTTTAAGATACATGCTGCCTCTGCTCCTTTTGTAACAAGTGGATCTAGCAGTAATGTTGAACATAAACCATCTGGCCCTGATGGTGGAATGACCTACTCAAGGAACTGGTTTTCATATGAAGAACTAATCAAAGCCACAGATGGTTTCTCAACTCTGAATCTTTTGGGAGAGGGTGGCTTTGGTTTTGTATATAAAGGATGTTTACCTGATGGGAGAGAGATAGCAGTGAAGCAGCTCAAAATTGGTGGAAGTCAAGGGGAGAGAGAATTCAAAGCTGAAGTTGAGATTATTAGTCGCATACACCATCGCCATTTGGTTTCTTTAGTTGGATACTGCATTCAAGATAACAGAAAAATACTTGTCTATGACTATGTACCTAACAACACCCTTCATTTTCATCTACATGGTAAATAAAACTACTTCTCAGTTGGTACAATACATGATTGTTTCATACATGAGATTTTTTAATAGATTGTGTTGTGTTAAATGAAATTGGAATTTGCAGAAAAAGGTCAACCGGTGCTGCAATGGGAAAAACGTGTTAAAATCGCAGCTGGTGCAGCTCGAGGAATAGCTTATCTCCATGAAGACTGTAATTTCCGATCCTCGTTAGTTTGTTCTTTATGCATGTACATAAATGCCTATCAGTCCACTTTGTGTTTTGAAATTTGAAAATTTCAAATTAGCTAAAACCTGAATCAGAATTTACATGAACATGAATTGATACACAAATGTTGGACACCCCCTAGTACTGAGTAATGTAGACAGTAGATATGGTTTTGTGGCTAGAAGATTGGATTTTATGCATATAAAAACTGTCCATTATAGATATTTTCAGATATATATGGATCAATGTTACAACAGAATGAAGTCAATGGAGCTGACATAACCTATGTTGCTTAATGTTATGCACATTTCAGGCAATCCTCGGATTATTCACAGAGATATCAAGCCATCTAACATTCTTTTGGATTACAACTATGAAGCTCGTGTAAATGGCATTCTACTTATTCAATGCTTGTTATTGTTTGCTCCATTTCCTTCCAAATCTAAGTACTCCTACTTTTAATGTTATAGGTCTCAGATTTCGGTCTAGCCAAATTGGCTCTGGATACAAATACACATGTAACAACGCGTGTCATGGGAACTTTTGGGTGAGTATATATTTCTTAATGGGTGTCAAATTATACATGTTTTTACTATTGCATTTAGACTAACAATCTATTGGTACAAAAAGTAAAATGTCGATATTGATTGCCTTTTTTCCGTATTGAAAAGGTATGTTGCCCCTGAATACGCGTCAAGTGGAAAATTGACTGACAGATCTGATGTATATTCTTTTGGTGTTGTAATTTTGGAGCTCATTACCGGACGGATGCCCGTAGATCCATCACAACTGGAAGATGAGAGTCTAGTTGAATGGGTATGTAGAGATATCAATCTTCCTCTCATGTCATATCAACTACTCTTGCTTTATTTTTGCTGATCTTGTTGCTCATAAACCATTAGTTTCTATCGAACAACTGATTGGGTTCAAAAGTTTATTTCATGATTGTGCTTTTTCTGTTGGACATTTTATTTTTATCATAGTTACTCCCGTATGAAAAAGACAGCAAAATGCTCATTCTTTTCAATCACTGACTTGAGTGGTGAAGACATTTTAAGAGGATCAAAGAGAATAAACCCATGTTCTATATGTTATTTTTGTGTTTCCTCATTCAAATTATAGAAGCCTTAATTTAGTAAAAGCAGGCACGCCCAAAGTCCTTGGTTCTCCCTGCCTCCGATGTTTGGCAATATTTTATGATCAAACTTTCAATTTATTTTATATACTTACAAAATGTTTTTAAATATTTGTTTTCTTTTAGATCAGGAGTATCATGTCTTGGTTTTAATTTAAGTATGCACAAATCTGTCCATATCTTTCTACATTAAAGTTTTGAGGTACTTGATAATTTAATGAGTATCAATCATCTTTCATCTAAAAGACAAAAAGATGTAGTGAGGTCACTGAGTATTGCTTTGCAATTATTCTTCTACCCGCAGAAAGTAACATTTTTGTTGACCTTATCATAGTGTGCTTGTGTCAACCAACTATGCATGCATACTAGTATTGTCAATCACAGTTTTTGGAACATAGTTTGTTCAAGTTCAGCTACGCTATAGTCACAATTTGGAAACACTTTGTACTAAACAGCATATCATGTAACAATAGCGAAATTCTTCTATGTTATAGCACCACCTCTATAGCAGCCACTGGACAAAACTGATGCATATATGAGAAATGAGAATATAGGGTCGACATATAGTTGAAGTGTCCAATGTCTAAACTTGTTAAGGATAAACATCACTTTATTCACCGTGAATGCTCTCTGCTCTTCAACCTTCATTCAGGCTCGGCCTTTATTAAGTGATGCACTTGAAACTGGGGAATTTGAGAGTTTTGTAGATCCAAAGCTAGGAAAGAAGTACATTGATACTGAAATGTTTTGCATGATTGAAGTTGCTGCTGCTTGTGTTCGGCATTCAGCTGCTAAGAGACCTCACATGGGACAGGTAAGTATTGAAAATAAACGGCAAAAATAAAATGTGAGAGTTTATCAACAAGCAAATTACTGACAAAGTTATTTGTTGATTTCATTTGACAGGTTGTTAGAGCTTTTGAAAGCTTAGAAACTTCGGATTTAACAAATGGAATGCGAGTTGGTGAAAGCCAGGCGTTTGACTCTGCACAGCAATCTGAAGAAATAAGATTATTTCAGAGGATGGCATTTGGTAGTCAAAACTATAGTTCGGACTTCTATAATCACTCACTCTAGTTTGCATATGGAAAGGCCGCTGTATGTATGTAGTGGAGGAATTTATTTTGGACCAAACGCTCTTAATCAAGCAAAGCCCAAGGGCTGTAGATATGGTAAAGCTGCATTGATTCTTTTGATTCCGGAACTGCTGACTGGACTCTTTTCAGTTTCAAACACCCATTCTTGTAACCAAAATTTATGTTTACTTTCATTAACTGTTATCTAACAGCAATTTTGTTTTTTTGTAATTAAATTTGTAAATATTACTCACAATAATAGATATTAAATTGATTTGTAACATAGTGATAAATACAGGTGTGCTCTTGGCACGACTTTTACATATTCTTTAGAATTTCTAGAAGGGATAGCAAGTATTTACATGTTTTTGGCATTTGAAAGGTGGAAGAGTAGACTTTGTTGTAACTTGTAGGCTGTAGCCTCTAGCATTTGCAAATCCGATAGTTGTCTATGTTAGATGCAATAAGAATTCAATAGAAAACAACTAACAGTACTGGGAATGACTTATTTATTCATTGTGAAATGCAGTAAAATAAATAGGGAACAAAATGAACGTGCAGTAACAAACTACAACTCACTTCTAGCTAAAAATAAGGAAACAAACTTGACTAAACCAATTCAACAAACTATCCTAAAAACTAGGTCTCTTATTTGACTAAAGACTTATCATTCCCTCCCTTGAACTAGACTGTATTTGCAGCTAGTTAACATTTGGTAGTTCACACACTCCAAGCCTCCTTCTTAGCTCCCGAAATAGCTCCAATTTGAGTGGTTTGGTGAAAATGTCGGCTATCTGCTGCCTTGTACCACAGAACTGAAGCTGCACAACTCCATCATTCACTAGCTCTCGTAAGAAATGGTAGCGCACATCAATGTGCTTGCTCCTGCCGTGCATCACCGGATTTCTCGCCAACTTAATTGTTGAGCTATTGTCACAAAAGATGACAGTACTCTCACTGCCCATGTAGCTAATCTTCTTTAGCACCCTTTGCATCCATATTGCTTGACAACAACTTCCTGCAGCTGCAATAAATTCAGCTTCGGTTGTGCTTAGTGTTACGATTGGTTGCTTTTGAGAAGACCAAGTCACAGCTGCTCCACTTAGCATAAAAACATATCCCGAGGTGCTTCTTCTATCTTCCACTGATCCGGCATAATCGCTGTCAGTAAAGTCAATCAACTCATGACTTCCTCCCCTTCTGTAAAGAATGCCGAACGTTGTTGTACCTTGCAAGTAACGTAGAATTCTCTTGGCTGCCGAATGATGAAGTTCCGTAGGCCTTGACATATACCTGCTTAATAAGCTTACTGCATACATTATATCCGGTCTCGTAGCGGTCAAGTACATCATGCTCCCAATCAGCTGTTTGAAGAATGAACCATCCATCTCAATACCATTTTCATCTTTGGAGATTTTAAATCCTGGAACCATTGGATTTTCAACAGAATTGTTATGCTCCATTCCAAAACGTCTCAACACTTCCATCACATACTTCGCCTGACTGATGAATATACCACCATCAAATTGAACTACCTCAATACCAAGAAAATACTTCATCTTACCCAAGTCCGTCATATCAAATTCCTTCATCATGGACTCTTTGAATTCAACCATCATATTCTCATCATCTCCGGTATAAATTAAATCATCAACATACAAGCTAATGATTAAATGTTTACCTTGTTTGTTGACTTTCGTAAACAAGGTTTGCTCGCTGTCCTCCTTCCCAAAACTTTCCTTTCTAAAATATGATTCAATCCGGCTGAACCATGCTCATGGTGCCTGCTTGAGTCTGTACAAAGCTTTGTTGAGCTTATACACCTTATGTTCCTCATTCTTTATTTCATAACCTCTTGGCTGCTCCACGTACACGTTCTCAATTAACTTCCCGTGAAGGAAAGCTGATTTCACGTCCAGCTGAAACACACACCATCTTCTTTGTGCTGCAAGTGCTAAAATCATCCGAACCGTGTCCATGCGAGCTACGGGAGCATATACTTCTTCATAATCAACTCCGTATTCCTGAGCATACCCTTTTGCGACCAAGCGAGCCTTGTGTTTATCCACTTCTCCGAGCTCATTCAACTTTGTTTTGTACATCCATTTGACTCCTATTATTTTAGCTCCTTTAGGAAGCTCAATAAGATCCCATGTTTCATTCTTCTCAATTGATCTCATTTCGGCATCCATGATTGATCTCCATTTCTCCTCCTTTACTACTTCGTCAAACGAAATTGGATCAGAATGAACAACACTAGCAAACAAGGCTAAGTGAGTTTGTACCTTTTCCCCTTCATCTGAAAGACCATCACCAGAGACAAAATCATTCAAATATGCTGGTGCTCTTCTAACTCGGGGTGTCATCGGAGGAGTTGCTTCATCTTCTTCATTGCCATCACTGGATTCGTTCCTCGCCGAAGAAGCTACATTTTCTTCTTCACTACCATCGTCGAAATCCTCCACCTCTTCACCGTTGCCATCTTTCCATTCCAGATCAAACCTTCTGTCATCTTCAGAGCTCCTATCCCATTTCCATTGTTCTTCTCTTCAAATATGACATCTCGACTAATTATAATCCTCTTAGAGATAGGATTATACAGCCGATATGCCTTTGATTCTTCGCTTACCCCTAAAAGAACACAACAATGGCTCTTATCCTCGAGCTTTGTTCTTCGAGCATCCGGTACATGAGCATGTGCTATACAACCAAAGACTCTCAAGTGCTCGACTGAAGGTTTCACCCCACACCAAGCTTCTTATGGCGTCATTTTTTTCACTAATGATGTCGGACATCTATTAAGAACATAAAATACCCAATTCACTCCTTCTGCCCAGAGTTTTCTTGGAACATTCTTCTCAACCAATACGCTCCTCACCATATTCATCACGGTTCTATTTTTCCGCTCAGCAACTCCATTCTGCTGCGGTGTATATGCAGCAGTTAATTGCCTCTTGATCCCATTCCTTTCACAATATTCTTTGAACTCATTTGATGTGAATTCACCCCCACGATCTGTTCTGAGATATTTAATGGGCAAACCAGTTTATTTTTCCACAAGAGCTTTGAATAACTTAAAGTAAGTGAATGCATCTGACTTAAAAGCAAGAAAATACACCCATGCCTTCCTACTATAGTCATCAATGAAGCAAATAAAATACCTCTTGCTGCCCTCTGAAACTGGAGATATTGGGCCGCAAATATCAGCATGAACGAGCTCCAACTTTGATGATGCTCTCCATGTACTTTTCTTTGGGATTACATCTCTATGTTGTTTCCCTTTCAAACAATCGCTGCACTTAATCTCACCCTCAGAAAAACTTGGCAAGCCTCTCACCATGCCCTCTGTTTGCAAAGTCTTCAATCCTTTGTAGCTGAGATGACCGAATCTTCGATGCCATAAATGAGCCACGTCTTGAGTGATTACTTGGAGACACTCTTCATCTCTTTCCTTTTTGACTGATCGACTGTTTGATAGCAACACAAACATTCGATTGGCAGCCATGGTGGTTTTGAAAATCAATCCCTTTGTGTGGTGATAAATCCAGCACATATTTGACTGCATCAGTACAGCCAAACCATTTTCTTGCAGCTGCCCAACACTGAGAAGATTATTTTTCAACCCCGGTACGTAATACACATACCGTACAAGGTAATTCACTCCTTTTACAGTCAGTTAAACGCTTCCCTTTCCAACAACATTCATGCTTGCATAATTCCCCAATCTTACCACCTTGTTGAACCCTTTTTCTAGATCACAGAAGAGAGATGAATCACCACACATGTGGTTGCTACATCCAGAGTCAATAAACCATACATCGTCTCGATCACCTCCAAGCGTATCGGTGTACGCCATTAGCACCATCTCTTCGGATTCATCCAAATTTGCATAATTTGCTTGACACTCGTATTGAAAGTGTCCAAGCTTATGACACTTATAACACTCAATCGTATCTTTCCTCCAATTTAGGCGACCCCTGCCTCTACCTTGTCCTCGGTCTCCTCTGAAAGCAACTTTCCCTCGTCCTCTTCCACCATAGCCCTCTTCATGAGTCACTTTCAAAGCATGTTCTTCTCCTCCATCTTCTTTGAACTTTTGCTCATGAACGAGCAGAGAACTTTGCAAGGCATCCACAGAGAGTTGATCTATGTCCTTGGCTTCCTCAATGGAACAAACAATGTAGTTCCATTTATCAGTAAGTGTTCTCAAAATCTTCTCAACAATTTTGACATCACTCACATCTTCCTCATAATTCCTCATGTCATTTACAACCGTCATTACTCGACCAAAGTAATCATTTATTGATTCGCCCTGCTTCATTGCCAGAACCTCAAAGTTCCGGCGTAGACGATTGAGCTGTGCTCTCTTCACTCGAACATTACCTTGACACTTCATCTTCATAGAATCCCAGAGCTGTTTGGATGTCTCCTTCTGCATAATCGTCTTCAGAATTGACTTGTCAATTGATTGAAACAAGTAATTCTTAGCTTTCAAATCCTTCAGCTTCATCTCCTCTAGGTTCTGTTTTTGCGTTGCTGTCATCCCATCCATACTCGTTGGCTGGCTGTAGCCCGATTCGACAACAACCCAGTACTTCTTGGATCGAAGAAGATTCTCCATGACCATGCTCCAATGATCGTAGTCACCGTCGAACTTTGGAATGGACGCTGAAACAAAGTTTGCTTCTGAACCCATCTCTCTCAAGTCACGCTCTAGATACCAGATTGTTAGATGCAATAAGAATTCAATAAAAAACAACTAACAGTATTGGGAATGACTTATTTATTCATTGTGAAATGCAGTAAAATAAATAGGGAACAAAATGAACATGCAGTAACAAACTACAACTCACTTCTAACTAAAAATAAGGAAACAAACTTGACTAAATCAATTCAACAGTCTATACAATATGACTTTTGCATATTTATTTAATTTTTATCATTTTTAGTTTATTCTAACCGTGTCCCAAACTTTTTTTTCCCACTAACGTGACCTAAGTG